GTCAAAAGTAAGCAGAGGTTGTAGCATATGTGCTCCCATTAGCTGTTAAATTTAATTAAAAAAGATATTTGTGTACCGTCTTTTCAGTACGAAAACATTACTTAATATATTTATACCAGCCAGAAAGAAATTGCAGTTTACACTGAGCAATTAGGAATATACATGGACAACAATTGATGCATGTCTAGCAATATACTGTTCGAAAGGCTGCAAGATGTAATGAATAGCAAACCAATCACTACTCGAGTCGAGTCGAGTCGGACTGGCTGGGAAACTGCACAATACATACAAAAATGTATGCAAATGATATATGAGCAGCTCCACTAAATATAAAAATATTCTTTCCATAGTTATGACTCTAATGTGAATGTGATTTTCCACTCCTTAGCAATAGTAGTTAGAGTATTGTATTGTACTGTATCGTACAAGTTTATTGTGATTCTATATGTGTTTGTAATATTATTTAGCTTTATTTAGCATTCTGTTTAGTTGGTTAACTTTACTGTATCTTAATGTAACGCATTTGTCTTCAGTTAAGCGCCACCTTCAATTAGGCGCCAGTGCCACGAAAACATTGTATTTTACATCTCAATTAAGCGCCAGACAAAGTTGAAATTTTGGGAGGTAATGATCGTGAATTGGGTGCCGGCGGATTGACTACGGGTTACCGGTTAGTAGCGATAGACGCCATCGCGGAAGTCCCTCACTGTTACTGTAATGACTTTTATGTAAAAAAAAATGGTTTTGTTTCTATCTCTCCGTCTTTTTGGTCTACTGTAGAAAATATTCTCGTGGTTTTTAATTTCGCAGTAAGTCCATAAAAACGAAATTAAAACAACGCGAAAATGTTCTGTTTCAAATGCGCTGTTGTCACAGTAAACAGTGTTAAATTATTCTTTAAATGCTCAGTTTACTTTCCAAAAATAACTAATTTCTTGATTTGAAAAAAAATCATGCGGTTTTTTCCCACCAAAATCAAAGCCGAAAGATCGCAAACATAGGCAAATCACTTCCGCATTGCGTTCATGCATTATTTAAATGAGCTATGGTAATTTGATCACGTTGGCATTATCCAGCATTTTGATTGGTTAATTAACGACTTGACCTATCAGGTCAAAGAACACGTTTCAGGTAAAGTCCTAGACAGGAAACATGGCAAACATCAAGCGTTTACATGCGACCCATAATCATTCGCTTACGATGAAATTAAGTTGAATTTTACTTGCATTTTATTTTTTGTATGTTATTATAATTACTACTGAGTAATAATCGTAACCGTGGAATGCAGCATGACCGGATTTTGCTACCGTGATCATTTACTACTAAATGATGCATTTGTGTTTTTCTGTTGATCGTACGGCAAACTGTGAATGTTTTCTAAAGGATGATAATTTTTGTATAACTTTCTAGACTGTCTAAAAACGGGTCATTTACTCAGTATTTAAAATAAAGGCTACAGTGACTAAGCGTCAGACTGTAATGTAAAATATTGCCAATAATCTATCACCAGAATGGAGCAAGAACAATGACTTGAAACACAATTACCTGTACTAGAACTTGAAGTGCTTGAAATAAGCGCCATTTGTAACAAAGTTGCTAAAATTTAAACACAAATAAGCGCCACCATGAAATGAAAGTGTAACAAAGTGGCGCCTAATTGAAGACAAATACGGTAGTTTATTTTATTTTTATACGACCATAGAACAACTCACTGTAGTTTGTTTAAATGTTGAATAAAAATTAAAATCAGTCATTGTATAGTGGTGACGTATTGCGCGAAATTGTTGCAAGGACAATACTTTTCTCGATTTGCGTGCCGTCGTGCGTGGAGAAAAAAATGCATGGAATGGTCGGCAGTATCGATCAAGTTCGTCTAGTGTGACATTCGTGGCTGGCGACAAGATGCCATATAATCGTTTAAATAGGCGTCAAGGAGGAGTGAAAGGCCCTAATTTGGTTCTACAATAGGCGTCATGAAATGTTGGAAAATTACAGTCAATCAAAAAAACTGTTTACATGACAACAAAAAATATTCACAATATTTATTATGCATTATTTTTTTGTTGGTAGCAAATCAGTGTTGTAATTGTTGATGAGTACTCAGTAGTGATTATATTAACGTACACAAAATAAATTTGTTGAATTGTTATGAAGTGCAAGTAAAATTCAACTTAGTTTTATCGTAAGTAAATGTTTTCGGTTACATGTTAACGCTCGATGCAAGACGATATCCGCCATGTTATTCATGTGCACGAGGCGTGTTTATTGACCAGATAGGTCAAGTCGCTAATCAACCAATCAAAATGCTGGATGGTGCCCATGTGCTCAAATTACCATAAAGCATTTAAATATGACAGTTCAGCGACCTCATGGTGAAAGCAACACGGAAGACCAGATTTACCGATGTTTTAGTGCCATCTTTTGGCTTCGTTTCTCATGGGGAAAAAGACATGATTTTTTTTTTTAATCGGCCCGATTTAGAAAAATAAATAAACGTACCGTCCCAAATGAGAATGTACCGGGTTGAATTTTTCTAGGGAAAAAATAAACGTACCAGTACGTATATTTGGGACATTTAGCGTTGTGGGCAAGCTCTCCTGAGTAGCGACATATTTTTAACTTCGCCTATGGCGTGATCAGTGGATTACGTAAATAAACCAACACTTTCAATGAGTACATGCCGACCCAACTAAACTTGTTTATGGCTGTTTATGAACAGCGAGGACGCATCTCATAGAACAACAGCTGTGGAAATCATAAACAAATGTAAATGTTGCGGAAATCAAGCATGGTGATAATGATTTTGAGCGAGGCAGAGTCTGGCAAGCGTCTCAGAGCAGCATTGCGCCGACACCACCACGACGTTTGAATCCCGGTGAGAGCACTGCAAACCTCTTAAATCACGAAGTAAACTTTCAATTTACACAATACATAATCAGTTCCTACAACCATGGAACTATAGTTCCATGCTACAACAATAATAGAAAGGCAGTTTTTCTGGTGAAGCTTTTGCCAGATTAGCAAGAGTTTCTCACGATCACCAAACCCGAGACACAAACGATAATACAAAGTTTATAACTCCCATAACAAGCACAGTTTCTTACCTTTGAAATTGACGAGACACAATTTTGTCCATATATGCGTTGCGCAAATAAAGATTCAATTCCGGGATACAATATCCTCACACAAAAATGACTGATTTCCACCGAGACGAGAACTGCGTATGCGTCATCAAAACTCGGATTAAACTCAGGTATTTTCGGGAAAAATGTTAAAAATCAAGGAAAAACACAGTGAAACTTTGAAGAATCGAAAAAATAACTTGATGTGCATCATAGCACCATCAATTCCGGCCTCTGTACCAACTCTGAACTGAATTGAATCACACATGTGTGAGAAAAAAGCTGGTAACATGAAAATATGCACACACGAATGCACAGACACGACCCAAATTAATACATATAGATGATCTTGTGTATGAATTAGCCATAAACATGTACATTACTGTCAGAGTAAGCGTTATTTACATTTAGTCATTGGTTACCCACCCCCAAACACCGCCATGGATCCTGCTATAGCAAAATGAGATTAATATGTAGCAAATTGATTTTAGACTAAACAGATGAACCAAATGCAAACCATTAATAACCAGAAACATGATTTATGCCTAAAAACCTCAAATACAATTTGAATAAATTCTCATATACAAGGAATCAAAGTTAGGTAATCACTGTTGTATGCATGTATATAGCAATATCGTATGACTCCATTTAAAGACAATATCGCCCTCTAGTGGCAAAACTCATTGATTTAACTTCAAAGTTATCCAGTCTGAACTGAAGGCTTCTACAATCATTTTCTCGATGACATTGACATTTGGTTTTATTTCACCAACTCTCAGAATATCAAATCTTTAATTCATATTCCAGCACTGAATTATGCATGTGTAACAACTGGAGAAGGGTATGACTAGTTACAGTCAAATTATTGCTAGAGGTTATGAAAACAATGACAATCATAATTTGAATAGTTTCAATGTCATTTGGACACTCAGGAAATGCAGAGGAACAATCCAATTAAATATAGTAGTACTAGTAATACAGCACACAACTTGTGCACAATTCTGGTAGTGAAGTAAAGGAAACTAAAATTTTGTTTTAGGGTAAGTAACAAAACAAGAAAGAATACCTTTTCCTCCAGATGCTCCAATTGCCACGGTTTCTCCTGCAGTGAATAAATTGGCATCTAAGATAGTATGATGAATTTCAGTCTCAAAGACATGGAAAAAACACTCTCGACATAAAGCATCACCCTGTAAAAACAAAGGCATTTACAATTTTAAATGGGAACAATGAGGGCACTCTTTCACTGACATACTTGAGTATGTGGCAGCAAGGCTGAGCACTTCGTCTTTTCAATACTCTATTTACACAAAGGTTAGTGAAATTTTTTAGCATTGATATTTTTTTACATAATTGACCTTTTAAAATAATCTAATTTTCATAATTTAAAAATATGTAAATGTAAAAAGACAAGCTATTCCTATTACTATGAAATTTAACTGAAAAAAAAATTTAGTTGTTTCTGAATATTGTGGTAATACCTGTATTATTGCCAATTTCCACATTCATTTGGACAGTGTTTAATGAATAAAAAGGAAATATATTATTGAACAAGCAGCCTATCGGCTGAGATAGCTCCGCTGTTAGCAATGCACATTTCAATTAAAGAACTGAAGACATCATTAGAAAATGAACAATATGAATAGTATCAAAGCAATCGGACTTACAGTTTTTAACAAGAAGTCGAAAATATCACTTTTTACCAAAAATTACAAAAATATTCACCAAAATAAATTAATTAGAGAATTGAAGATATCATCACAAAACGAACAAATTTGAGAGAGGTCCACATGTAGTACCTATATATGTAATATCAAAGCAATCGGACTTACAGTTTTCAACAAGAAGTCGAAAATATCACTTTTTACCAAAAATGACAAAAATATTCACCAAAATTAGAGAATTGAAGATATCATCACAAAATGAACAAATCTGAGAGAGGTCCACATGTAGTACCTATATATGTAATATCAAAGCAATCGGACTTGCGGTTTTTAACAAGAAGTCAAAAATATCACTTTTTACCAAAAATGACAAAAATATTCACCAAAATTAGAGAATTGAAGATATCATCACGAAATAAACAAATCTGAGAGAGGTCCACATGTAGTACATATATATGTAGTATCAAAGCAATTGGACTTGCAATTTTTAACAAGAAGTCGAAAATATCAGTTTTTACCAAAAATGACAAAAATATCACCAAAA